TAAAAGAGCAGAAGGGGCCAAGGATAGAAAACAGTGTCAGAAGAAAAAAAAAGACTGTCAAATGAAGGAGAGGAAAAGGAGATTGGAGCAGGAAGGACAAATGAAGTGAACCCTCCACTTTATTCTGGACACCACATCATAAGGCTTTGGTACCTGGGCCAGGCAGGGAAACGCTGGACCTTCTCATCTCCAAAGGTAAAAAAATATCAGTATTAATGTGTTCACTTTTATTTACTGAGTGTCAGGAAGCACAGAGTGCCGTTGGGTAGGGGTGTTGCTGATTGGCTAGAGCGGTCAGCTGGCACTCTAAGCCAATCAGTAGCTCCCCATTCATAAAAAAGTAAAAATATTTTATGAACCGGGAACTAGCGATTGGCTTAGAGCGTCAACTGACCACTCTAGCCAATCAGCGGCACCCATGCCTGACGTCAATCTGCACTTCCTGACACTCTGTTTCAGAAGCCAAATACCACTGAGCGACCTGGAGCTGGAGGAAGCCTTTGGGGTTAAACCATTTGAGAGCGATTTAACCCCTTAAAGGAAAGCGAGCACCCAGGGGCTTCCTGGCATCATAGCATTTTCATTTAGGTGAAGTTGTTATGGTGACCAGAAATGTCCTTTAATTTGCTTAAGGGAACACTATAGTGTCAGGAATACAAACATATATTCCTGACACCATAGTTGTGAAAACGCTATTCACCCTGGCTTTATGTGATAATGGCTATGCCCCTTCCCTTTCATGACACTGTCAAAAAGGTACCAAGCATGGATGTCATTACAATTATGCCCCCCCCCCTGGAAAAATTCTTGCGGACGCCCATGGTTTTGTACTTCTATTTGCATGTGCTTCTGTTGACCATCCGATTGGGACATCGGAAAGTGGAATCTGTACCTTTATTCGAGGCTCTATTACTTGTCCGGTGAAGACCTTACATTCCATAGAGGAGGACATACCATATATCTTCAGGCGGGGATTGTTCCACCTGAGCATAGAATCTCTGAGCTGGTGTAAAGCTCTATTGAAGGTAAGTGTCTCTCACCATTTTTTTTTGGGTCCCTATACATAGAGACACTCCACCATTGAATTTTAGTTTGTTCCTTTTTGTCTTTTATATACATCTACTGGAAGCGCAACCATCCACCTACTGTGAACTATTATCAATTCTTTAGCAAGGAAGAGAGACATTTGGCAGGATTGTTGCTGCTACATAGCTATGGAACGGATCTAGTGCTTGATCCACTGTTTGGATTACATCATTTAATTGTTGTTGTTGTCTGAGTGTATAACAGAACTCAGCAATAACCCTCCCAATAATGTGTCTTAAAACTATAATGAATGTTTAAAGATACTTTAATCTTGTTTAAAATTAATTTTACGTTAAAACAGAAAGCCCCCCACCCACACACCTCCAGCCATGTCCCTTACCAATTGTCTCTATTTATAAATGCTGGGAGGTGAGGACGTGATGGAGTTAATATTGTACATCAGTATATGCTGGTTCTTCCCATGGCGTATGTTTAGACTGTTATATATTTCTGGCCATTATCATTATTTTAACAGCCAGGCATGGCACTCAGTGCTAATCCAATTATCTATTCTCTGTATTCTCAGACACAACTTGGAAATGAGATCCAGAATAAAGCCTTCATGGAGAGGGCAGTTTTTATTTCTCTTGATGGTGTGCGGTGAAGGGTCATTGTTTCACCCATTTTCCTTGTAATTATCTGCCTCATTTTCACTAGAAGGTTGTATTTCTTAAAGGAAACCGATAATTAACGTGTTTGAACCTTCTGTCTGTGTCAGCCTATTGTTAATACATTCTAAAAACTTTACCTGAGCTGTTAATTTACTGCTCCAACCTAATTAGAGTCTGGTGACTGATTGGATTTTCTGTGTCAAAACTAGATATTAGAGAGAGGATCTGAGGTCCCTCCTCCCTGCCACTTTCTGATTATACGGTCATTTACTGCCAAGGGTCTTTATATCACGTGGTTCCAAATCCCAGGAGTCAGCAAAGCTAGATATGTCTGGTGCCAAACACTTTTCAATATTTTAATACGTCTTTGCAGACACATCCATCTCATGGCTAGTGGGAAAAAAATGTGGGGTTAAATGATGCACACATTAAAGCAAATGTGTCAGGTTAATGGTGGTGAGATCTATAAAATTATAGCTGTAGGCCATTGGCATAGACTAAAGCAATGTTGCTGCAGTGGCTGTGTCTACTTTTTCAGTGCCTGAAATACTTGTCCTGAATAACATAATGTGATCAGTGAAGACTACAAGGCCTAATCATGGGAAATGCAGTTTCCAACCACTCTTGAGCCAAGTACATAATTCTTCCTCATTGGTACATATGCAAGGAGAGCACTTCAACAGAACTCTGTAAAATCAGCCCTGGGTAAGGCTGGCCAGCCACTGTATCAATGGTGACACTATTTGCTTTCACCAACAGGCCCCCCTCTGTCCCTGTCCCCTCCTCTCTCAGTATTGGGGGAGTGCACTGAAGGAACACTCGCACACACTCTAGGTCGGAGAGGAGCAAAGAAAGAAGAAAATGTGAGCGTTCCCTTTCAATACATAACCTTGCAACTATCTTGGAAATCAAAGGAGATCTCAATACTCATTCTGGTAAAAAAAAAAAAAAACACAAAAGAATAAAACTTTCTAAAAAGGGCACAATATCTAGGCAGTAGAACGTCATTTATATAAAAATGCATTAAAAATTATGGGGGGAAAATAATATTATACGAATTAAAAAATGAATACCTTTACGTTTACTAAACTTGTAGCACCATGACCCCTAGATTAGGAAAAAAAGCTCCACCAATGAGGGACCTTTATTTTCAGTCTATATTTTTTCATAACCCATAAATCTCTGTCTTTCAGTAGTGTTTGGGATATGTAGGTTAACCACAGGCACGGGATGAGTATAACACTTTATAAAGATATCATCCAATGCTACTATTGGCCTATTCGCAGCCGGTACACAGTTTTGTGAGCTATGTTTGTTCCGTGATCTCCTAAGCCACAGATAGCACGTGGATGCAGCTGTGCATCACCAGTTGGAGAGAGAAGAGGTCAGATGTCTGTCCAAGCTGTACACAAGGCACAAACTGAACAGATTTTGGATGGAAAATGAGGAAGTAAAATGATGTTTTTGATGCCACTGATCCAGGGGGCTGTCTTACATCTCCTGTGTTTATACAAGTCTCTGCAGTTATAATGCACTCAGGGAAGGCAGATAAGAGTGTTTTGTGTCATAAATGTAACCGTTTGCATGATAACACAATCAAAATGACATTTGCAAACAGGTGTTTTGTAAAAAAATAAAAATAATACTTCTTTTTAAATTTTGATTCAAACTTAAGTCCAAACATATGAATATTGCATATGTCATTATAGTGCTTAGAAAGACCGTTTAATTAAAAAGATTGGCAGACAGATGACAGACAGATAAAACACTGCAATTGTAAATCTTCGACTTCTAGATCTCGTTGATAAGGGACAGGATACATACAGACACTGCTGATATGGAAGGAGGAGTAATTGGGGATAATACAGAAGTTGGCAGATGTAAGAATGATCAAAAAAGTATGTTTTGTGTGAGTAGCATCTGTAAGACGTAACTAAAGGCATTCTCCAAATTACTGCTCAGGAAATGTATGATACTGAGCAATAAACCAGCAGTAAGCAGATGATCTGTGCTGGTAAAGTAGTGTATTGATAAAATATTAATACCAGCCCGAGGAGGACATAGTTATGAATGACAGACAGACTTTAAAAGCATAGCATCGCATCATAGCCTGCCTTCATGTTCTGTCTGTCTTGTATATGTCTGGTTTTGTTTGTCATGTACAATATCAGAACAAAAGCTGTCACACAATACAATATATAATGATATATTTGAATATACCTAGTGTGCAGTATCACAGTGTCCACTAGAGGGTGCCCCTCTCTCTCTTACATTGTTACATAGCTGAAAAGAGACTTGCGTCCATCAAGTTCAGCCTTGTTCACATATGTTTTTGCTGTTTATCCAAAAGAAGGCAAAAAACCCAGGCTGAAGTGCTTCCAATTTTGCCACAAACTAGGAAAAAAATCCTTCTTGACCCCAAAATAGCAGTCAGATGTCTCCTTGGATCAAGCAGCTATTACCCCACTAATTAGAAATTATATCCCTGTATGTTATGTTTTTGTAAGTATTTATCCAATTGCAGTTTAAAACTCTCTTTGCAACTCCACTGAAAAGTAATGCTTGCCTCGACACTGACACCACAGAAGGTGTTTAAAAAGGATTCAATTGTTGGGAAAAAAAAACACTGAAATTGCAAATCATTCCAGTGTCACCATGGCCTAAAGTGAATTCTAATTGATGGGGGTGGTAACAACTTACCTATCTCTTATACAAGTTACAAACTATAGGGTCAGCAACCTTTTAACTTGAGAATTCAGTATTATTTTAACCCCCGTAAATTTAAATATCTGACACCTCCCAGCCCAGCCCGGCAGCCATTATTGCTTATTAGGGGCTATAAACCTGTGTCATATCTATTCATCAATAATGCATTACAAACTGCGTGCTTTAAAGGTTAATCCTCAGGCCCAGACATAAACAAAGGGATTTCACTTGCTAACAGGAGACACTGACTACATCACGCAGTAATACGAGTTTATTAAAGGTGAAAATGAGCTCAACGCATTTACATAGTCCTCAATGTCACAGTCCCAAAACAACATTCATTAGAGCACGAGACAGGATTGTTTACTGCAGAAAGCAATAGAAAAAGTCTCTGATCGAATACTCTTGCTGCAGTGCGATGGGACTCGAGGTGGCTTAAGAATGACTTGTGATGTGCTATACACGAATCGTGTACACTGGAACTCAATCCCATATACTATGTAAATACAGGGGCTGTCGCAGTTACAGACTTGGGCCTGGTATAACCCTAAATTAGGACAATTCCCCCCCCCCCGAACAATTATATCTACCGCCATGCAACAAACACAAAATCCCTACATTAGAGTCACTCAAACGCAAAGTGTATTGTCTGCTCTATTCAAAACTAAACAAATTCCATGCAATTCTGCGACACTGCACCATTAAAAGAATACTCCAAGCACCATAACCACAACAGTGCACTGCAGTGGTTATAGTGCCAGTCCTGGTGCCCCCCATTTTAAGAAGTTAAAACAATTTAGAACGGTTTATATGATGCTGGATAATGAGAGTGCCAGGAACTGTGTCAACTTTCAACTCTCTCACACGCACAACAGTATAACTCGAAGGAAGACAGGACCGCAGGACCTGCGCATGTGCAAGTTTCCATCAGCGTCCAATACACATTGCGTGAGAAGCTGACATTCATCATCAGCCATGGAAGATCCTACTTTGTTTTATAAATATATTTTTTCACTTTATAATTTTTTATATTTTTTTTTTGTCGTGCACATATAACATTACAGGCATGCTTAGCCACAACAGCTTTATGACACAGAATAATCACATATAATTGAGAGCAGTGTGGCTGTGAGACTGCACAATTTTTTGTAGTGCAGTATGCTTTAATGTTGGTCAGACGAGAAATTAGAAGGCTTGTGTTAGGCTTGGTGTCTGACTGTGTTTGTGTTGTAGCATAAGGTGAGAGAAACAGTCTATTCATCAGGTAGATCACTGTGTAACGTGGTAGGCAGTGGGAGGACAGGCTGCAATAGAATTGCATGTGAGTGTGTCAAAGATCGTTTGTCAGGCATCACCATTAAAGTAAAGAAATATAGCTAGCATTCTTAACTGTGAGGAAGCTGGTCTACCTAAATGACAAAAAATAATAATAATATCCACTGGATTGCTTGTTAAGACATTAGAATCAACATGTTAAGTGGGAACCACAGACATATGCATATTGTTAGCGGTTCTGGGGGCTGCTCAGCCGATGCCAAGAGGTGGGAGGCTGCATATGCGTAATAGCCATAGTCCATTTAGTTTTGTGTGGGGGCCCATCAAGTCATGGTTACTGCTGCACTCCAGAGTTTTGCTTCCCCGGTCTTTGGTACGGACCTTCTCCCTGCTCATGGTTTATGGGTCCTTCCGGTGATCGCAGCCGACCTCTCTGAGCGGGGACCCTCTGACGGCACGACTTGCACTTGAGTGCGGTGCCAGCCAGAGTTCCGTGCTGTAGAGCTGCCATAGAGTGGCATGTTAGGCTGTCTACGATACTGTTTTGGTTGCCGGACCTGTGGCACTCCTTTTGCCTTCAGGAAATTGCGTGACGTGCGCTTCGGGTGCTTCCTCTGGCTTTTGCTTTGAGTAGGCCTGCCCTGGACCTGCTGATCCCATGGCATGGCATTTGCATGCCTGCTTGGCCCAGAACCTGGCGCAGATTCTGTCATATGCTTGTATTCATGGTTCTGCTCCCATATAGTCCAGGCGGTAGGCTTGTGTTGAGGCATCTTCTCGGCAGGCCACCATCTTGCCTAATAGGCCGCAGACTCCTGCGTTGCGGGTGGTTGACAAAGCCCAGAAGAGTAGGTCGAAGGGCTCTCCAGTGGAGACCGGGACGACCAATACCAGTCCAGGGAGGGGGGGTGGGGTCAGAAGCGGTATTCCGGGATCACATGGACTGCTAAAGAGCGGCCGCCTCTACCCGGCTCTGTCATGAGTAGGCCTCAAATCTCCGTGTCCGGTTAAAGTTGCCAAACAGTCATTTGTGTGGTGTCCTGAGGATCACCGGGACTCCTTCTGCTAAGACCAGGCACAACTGCGGTCAAATATGCCGTTATATTGGCTATTTCAGCGTTTTATCCATACCAAATGCGAGAGCCAGCACAGCATGTATGTGGTCTGCTCGGCAGCCCAGGCTCCGCTCCCTATGAATATATTTTTATTACACTGGAATTTCAATGAAAGTCTAGCACAATCCAAGCTCACTGTAAAAGGCTCAAACTCCTCATCGTGTGAAGAATGATTTAATGGAAACTGTGCTCAAACCAGTAACCTTTCTCTGTCCAACCAAAACGTTTCATTGCGTTCTGATGGTCCTTTTTCTGACAATAAAGTTGGTTCTGAACATTGGTTCTCCACCTATAACAATACAGATGACCATCGATGATTGTGTGTGTGCGCATGCAAACAAAAAAGAAGACTCAGGTTTAATCACAGGATACAGTATCTAGTTTACCTACTGAGTGAATGGAATGCCGCAGAATTTGCTATAAGAATGTGTCCAGCTGTGATTTGTAAAGGATCCAGTGGAATTTTCCAGTTTTTGTTAGGTATGTGTTAACCGGAAGTAGGTGGAAAAGATGGTTTGAGCGCATGACTGAACAGAAATCACTTGGAAAGTCCCAGAAATGGTTGCTGACAATTAAGTCAAAATAACTCCTTATCTCCCTTGTCTGTGTAAACCCACACAGTTACACGTGCATGAACACACAAACATATGTAGAGATATAGAAATATATATATAAACATTTAAAATACATATCACACCCATTGTACAACGGGACTGTATATGTATTCTACATATAATAATAAAAACATTTCTTCCGTTATAAAAGCCAAGAGTCCAACCCTCCCCCCCCCAGTCTATCCGATGTCGCAGCATGGTGTCATATTTTTCTAATCCTGCACCTATTGTTTAATGTAAATTCTTTCAGAAACCCCTTTCCTGTTAAAGCCTTCTTAGTCAAAACTATCATCTCCTACCCAGGAATTGCCGGAGACAGACCCTGTGTTTACGGTTCACAATGTTCTGGTGCCTGTGTTTTGATGTCAAGAAAACTGTTATTCCAGACCTTTCTAAAAATGTAACGTACACCTATTCCAAGTGTGTGCCTACTTGAAAATCCCTCTCATCACATTACATAACACAATTTAACATGTTCTCGACCCTTTATCAACACAATTACTGAGGGAACTTGTTTTTTTCAGGATTGTGTATTCAGCCATTTTAAGTGATGATTCAATATGTATAAATGCAGAATACAATCATGCTATCCATCACTGAAAGGTTCTCTTTCTTCAGGATAGCCAGTTTATTGTTACAAAGTTGCCTTCTATTTACTATTTCCAACCTTTATATCTTCCTTGCCACAATCCTACATGTTTGTTTTCCTGCAGCCACTTCCATAGTATTTTCCCATCCCAAAACCAGCCATGAAACGTACACACCTTGAAACATTGCACTGCCTACTTTTTAAATGATAATAAGAGTGACAATACATGCACAGATTATGGTTTTGTAAACCTTTGCCACATAATCCATACATCTAGCGTTCTATGTTCCCCTAATAAGAAGCTGTTCACATTTTGACCATATCTCCATCATCCATTTCATATTGCCGACTCCTAGTCTGAACATGCTGTGCTGGAGAGTGAGGCTAGTGATGCCTTATGGCTGCCAGTTCTCATACATGATTAATTACATGCCTTCAATGGGCCCCCTTTTAAAGAGGTCTTGTTCAAGTTGTCAATGATTTGGCAGTGGGTATTGACTTAGTCTGTGGGTGTGAGGACTTTAGTTCAGAATGTGCCTCCAAAAAACTAAAATATATGAAAATCCAGAAAAGGGCCATTTGTGCATTCAATAAAAGTAATTAATTCTGAGGCACGTTCAATGGCTAGTCCTAACCTTGCGAATATGGCAATTCATATCAAATTAGCTACAAACAGTATAGCGACAGAGTCATTTATCAAGCAATAACAGATTTCAGAATGCCTGATTTTTCTAAACTAAAGAGCCAAAGTAAATAAATTAAAAATAAATGAATGTAATGAATAAATACAATTAATAGGAGGTGTGTAAGGTCCCCCACATCTCCTATTAATTGAGGACACATTCTTCTTTTGCAAGTTTATTTTTTATATTATTTTAACCCCTTAAGGACACATGACATGTGTGACATGTCCTTATTCCCTTTTATTCCAGAAGTTTGGTCCTTAAGGGGTTAAAGAGACAATCCAAACACCACAACCACTATATCATACATTATTACATAATACAGCTTATTGTTTTGTCAGATCTTATTTTTGACAGATTATTTTATTATTTGTAATCATTACAGCAGATTGGAGGGGTTATGGTGCTAAGACACTTAATACAGCCTGCAACCAGCAGTCCTGGAATACTGAGTATGTCTGAGTCCTGTAGGCTAGCGGCCTTGTCTGCATCAGGGCCACAATCACGCCCTTATTTGCTGTGGTTGAGGAGACCATATGTTCCTGCCAGACATGTTAGTAACACTCTGGCATTCTGTAGTTGCATGCCACATGCCGGAACGTCAGTACTGAGGTTGGCTGATGCATAAAATGCAGGGCAGCAGCCTCCATTGAGAACTGTCAGACATGTTTTTGCCTCAAAATTACTCCGACAGAACATAGCCACTCTGCAGATGCTGCAGGAGTTGTATAATATGTGGATGTGTAGTTGTGCGTGTTTTAGAATGTGTAGCTATATGCATGTGTGTATTCAAGTGTGTAGTTGTGTGTCTGTGTGAATGTGAGTAAGAATGTGTATGTATGAATGTGAGTAAGGACTTGTGTGTGTGTGTGTGAATGTGAGTAAGAATGTGTATGTATGAATGTAAGGATTTGTGTGTGTGTGTAAGAATGTGAGTAAGAATTTGTGTGTGTGTGTGTGTGTGTGTGTGAGAGAGAGAATGTGAGTAAGGATTTGTGTGTATGTGAATGTAAGGATTTGTGTGTGTGTGAATGTGAGTAAGGATTTGTGTGTGTGTATGTGAATGTGAGTAAGGATTTGTGTGTGTCATTGTGAATATGGATTTGAGTGTGTCTGTGTGAATATGAATAAGGATTTGAGTGTGTCTGTGTGAATTGTAATATGAATTTGTGTTTTCGCAAAACAGATTAGATTAGAGTCCCCCATAAAATATATTGACTATGCCAATTGCCCCAGACAAAGGATAATTCTAGGACCATAACTACTTCATGATACTGAGCTAAAACATGCTGCATATAGCTTGCTCATTAGCAAAAAAAAATGTACTTTCATTGAGGAATGCCAGGGCACCGCTGGGCCATAACCATTTCAGCTCACGATAGAATTTATGATGCTTGGAGTGTTCATTTAATTTTTTTTTTCAGGTGATGTGATTCACCATTTTCTTTCAAAATTATATTAAAGTTTTACCAAACCACATCACAACCCAGGCACAAACAGGGCAAACATTGCAAATGAGTAGGACAAATAGAAATACTGTTTAATATCTACTGCCAGGTGAAAAGGACAGCACTTATAACTATGATTGACAGGGAGCCCAGATGGAGGCACCTGGTTGCAGAAAAAAGAGGTGTGTATTTCTGGAGTGGATAGGCTTTCCCTGGGATCCAGTGGGGCTGCTGTCCTCTTCCTACTCAGCTCCCTCTCGCACACTGTTAATTGAGCTGGGGGCCACGGTGATGTCATAACCCGGCTCTTGGCATCACTGCAAGGGAGCAGGCCAGGGAGATTACAGCTCCCTCGCCGTGGCACTAAGTCAGCTGCCTGCCTCCCTCCCTCAGCTCTCCATGAGCCGCCTGCCTCCCTCTCTCAGCAACCCACCCTCAGCAACCCATGAGACGACAGCCCCCCTTCATTTGTCAGCCGCCTGCCTGCCTCAGCCCTCCGTGAGCTGACTGCCCACTGCCCTCGGGGGCTGAACAGGCTCACAAATTCCAGGCATGGCATGGCAACCTGGGATCTGTCGAGTCCTGCATTATTGTACCTGCTGATTACAGAATAAAACGCAATCATGAGGATGTGCAAGCAATTAAAGGAGGATTTCCTCATTTGTATTTATTACAACTGGCAAACAATCTGCTAGATCATAAAATAAAGTCAGTAGCCCTTGTGTATGTCTGGAAAGATTATTAAATAGTGCTTCATGCCTATAAAATCGATGGAAAGTATTTTTCTTAAGGACTGAAATATGAAATGCCAGACAGTAGCTTCGGCCATAAAGCTAACCAAAGAGTTTTAAGTTTAGGTTACACTGACCTTTCCACCATTTTTAAAAACCACAGTGATCCCGTCAGAAACAAACCTGTAGCTCACCTTCCAAGACAGAATACTATTACCATTCGATTTAGACATGTGTCACGGCAACGCTTCAAAGGACAAAATATTGCGATTATTAATATGGACTGAATGACAGAACTCTCTTTTTTTTTAATAAAAATTACCTGCCTGACTCCAACAAAAATGACAAAGTCAGTATGTTTAGAGATCACATTGTAATTTTACTTTCTGTGAGAGTTAAAGCAGGGAGATATAAATCTTTCATGCGCTCTAACAAAAGAGCAGCTAGGAAAATACAGGGCTGGGGATAATATATGTGTCAAGCTGGGGAGATTTGTTCCAGGTGAAAGTTTTACAATGACCTGGAGGGATGTGCAGTGTGAGTCAGAACAATAAATGGTGGATAATAATGACATGGGTAGAGCTGACAGGTGA